TTACACTGCTAAATTAGGGACGGCTAGCGCAGATAGCCGTCGTGTAGCTTTGCGCGAAATTCATAACAAACAAACAGAAGTAATTAAGAATAAACTTCTAATCATTTTTAAAAACAATTGTTTTCGATACAGATGGCCTCTTATAACAATTGTGAGCATGCGTAGAAGTTGTTTTTCAAATTTGTTCCTTGTTTGAAATTGATCTATATTTTGAACCTTGCTGCTGCGCCAAATTAGTTTGTTTGTTATTAAGCCCAACGCTACACAATGGGCTATATGTGCTGCACCCACCACTGGTATCGAAGCCCGTTTTTTATCGCCAAATTTGGTGTTTGTATCAGTCACAGAACGTTTTTTTCAGCCATGCCACTCCGCCACCAGAAGCATATTAACTAATAGGCTTGGGCTTAGAGCCCAATAATCTCAGGAGCGTATCTGAAGAATTTTTGTTTTTCAATTTTCGAAATAAAATTAATTTTGAAAATTTGTATAATAGAAACAAATTTCCACACATTTATTGCATTTTGATATATTTTTCTTCTCGTGTTGATTGATATTTTTTTCACTTGAGAAGCTAAGAGTGCATCTTAAATTGTGAGCCTACAGTACAAATTAAGCTGAATATGCCCCCGTCTCTCACAAATAAAAACCTTTTGTATGCTGAGTCTAATTCTGCACAGTATCTTGTTTACGTTTAGAAATTAGACAGTATGAATTTTAAACATTTTTTGTACAAAACTTATTAATAAAATACATTTGAAGCAGCTTATTTATGGTATTAGCACCATAAAGTATTTCTGTCATTACCTTTTTCCCAAAATACTTCTTTCAAGGGAAACCCACTGAAAGGACATTGGATATCAGCTGACCTTCCGGCTAAAACTGTTCGATTGCCCATTGGCCGAATATATGGTGGTCCATAGACGTCTAATCTTGCCGAGTAAGCAACTTTACCAACTATATTTTCTGCAGTGCACGTATAAACTCCGCCATCCGAACCACTTATAGCGCTTATGTTGACGTAACTGTTAACTGTGTTCTTATTGCTGACGTAATCACCAATTCTAGTGAGATAGACTTCCGGTACTACAGCACCATCTCGTGTCCACGTAATCTGTGGAAGTGGAATACCGGAAGCAGAACATTTCAATGAAATGGTCGAACTTGGTTGGACAACACTAGTCTCGAAGGTAGAATGAAATATAGGATGTTGTTCTGAATATAAAAAAGGAAGAAAAGGCAATATTAGAATGACAAACGCATAAATACTTTGTAAATGTACTTTCCGTCTTTATCTAGCGTAGTAACTGAAAATAAAAAAAACAAGACTTATCGTACATACAAAATACGCACACTTCATCTGTAACAAACACACGTAATGATACTGAGGGTTAATCGCCGTTTATAACAACTATGTTACACGTCCTGTAATATCCTTCATGGTCGATGTGCTCAATTTGGTGGCCTTGATTGCCACTATTGTCCGACACCAGAATTTCTATCATAATAAATTTTTGTGAGAAACGGTGAGGTCAAGTTTAGATCACTCATCCTGACAAAACTTTCCAAGTTAACGTTTAAACATAGAAAAGTATATTGGAACTGCCTTAGGAGACTGAACAGGTTTGTTGCCTAATGGAATTGTGGTGGTTCACGTTTTTTTGTTCGTCTTTCTCATAAAAACAGACACTTATTTCGAGGTGTGACTGGACACTTGTGAATTTAAACTGTCACTTATTTCGAGGTGTGACTGGACACTTGTGCATTTAAACTGTTACTTACTTCGAGGTGTGACTGAACACTTGTGCATTTAAACTGTCACTTATTTCGAGGTGTGACTGGACACTTGTGCATTTAAACTGTCACTTACTTCGAGGTGTGACTGAACACTTGTGCATTTCAGAATTGTGAACCATCGCGATTTTCAAATCCTTGTTTACTATTTTGTCACCAGTACCAGGAGATATGCCAATCTTCATTGCAATGGCTGTTCGGAAATTGAAGACTAATAGGTTTCTGTGGTTTCGGAGCTCGATGTTGTTCTAAATCCTCTGTTCTTTCCACTTCTTTTTTTAGAACATTTAAGGCTTCTTTCTTTGAAGTGTTTTTATTTTGACTCTACATCGGTTAACAGTCTCCTTTCCTAAATACCATAAAAATAACTGTGGTCTATACCTCTAACCACCAGTCAGAATTTCGCGTGAACCAAATTTACAAGTGCTAAATATGTCTCCAATGATGTATTTCTAGCAACACGCCATTGCGTTGGCACATACAAAAAGTTCTTATAAAGTAACTATATGCAGAGGGAAATGCTGGATGTTTTGTATCTCGATTTTGACTTTCTAGTACTACAATATAGATTTAGTAAAATCACATTTTTATATTATATACTATCAACTCCAGCCTTATTACTAATTGACGAGATCCATTTCGGGTTTTGTATCCTCGGTTTTGACTTTCTAGTACTACAATATAGATTTAGTAAAATCACATTTTTATATTATATGCTATCAACTCCAGTCCTATTACTAATTGACAAGATCCATTTCGGGTTTTGTATCCTCGGTTTTAATTAATTACCAACAGATACTGAAACAACTTCCCAAACATGACGAAAAATAATCTTTACGTTGCTCATCAAGTGTTTGTGTTATTTTCAAATTCATCCATGGTTCTTGCCCACGAGACCTTATTTGATCCAGGACCTTCGTATTGTAAACATTTGTAGACAAACATTTTGCATGTTTTATCAGAGAACTACAATACTGTGATTGGGTGGAAAAAAACAAAAACCTTTCTGAGCCATCCATATCTAGGGATGGACCAATCTTCTATAATCAAAAGTCAATATTACTGTCTTGTTTTCCATTTTGACCCTTAATCAAGTTTCTTTTGCCTGTTTGTTGATAAGCACAAAAGTATATGATGCGCTATCTGTGATCTTCTTATTGGGTGTATTGAAATCCTATTTTTAGAGTGATTAGCCCTCAGACTTACCAGGGGAAGCAAATCAAGTTTTGAACATAATCATATAGATATTATTTTGCATTGTTAATTTAGTATCTGTATTTAGGACTAACCGTTCCCCCGGTGGGACAACGCTAAAATCCGGGGTTCGATTCCTCGCCTATTGTGGCTTTGCTCTAAAATTCAAACAGACAATTAAGAATAACCTAAATTGCCTAAAATGGCCAACCTTTTGAGATAATTCTGGGAATAAGACCGGAAATAACGTTTACAGCGAGGGTACCCAGCTGACAAAAGATTTAATTCAAATCTTTATAGGTAAAGACGAAAAAACAGAAAATTTCATTAATCGTACTCATCATGATTTAATGTGATTTCAATTCTGGTCTATATACTTAGCTTGCAGAAGTCAATATTAATTAATGAATATAACTAAAAGTATTTGATAAGTAATTTGTTAAAATTATGTTATTGGTCATTTCATTCACATCTCTGAAGAGAAACTAAAACACCAACTGAAAACAAGATTGTCAATACTGTCAGTTAATCATGAGAAAAACAAATCTGATCTTACCTCTGAGAACAAGCTCTGCTGAGTCTTGGCTTGCAATTTCCCCCGACGTCACCATACACTGATACATTCCTTTATCAGCTCGTTGTACTGAATGAATGTTCAAATTCCCTTTGTCTATTATGTTAATTCTTGGGTTTGCCGAGAGGGGTTGTCCATTTTTAAACCACATTAACGTCTTTGCTGGGTGTCTTGAAGGTGTTATGCTACATCGAAAAGTTACAAGGTCTCCAAAGTCTGCTGTGAGAACACGTGGTTTCAGGTCAACCTTAAAAGGCACTGTAAATATTAGAACGTGTAATTAACTTTCCAGCATGAACAGTTAGACTGAAACGTTTATTTTGTTGCAGTCAGGCTGAGAATTGTCAAAAGAACGGCGCAGGAATAACATTTACTTATCCCCAACTTTCGATTTGCAACTTTGCCAGCCATAATGATTCATAGGCAACAGTAAAACATTGCTTATTTACTTTATCGAGTTACTCTGTTGAAAAACCATGCACGTGATCGTGAGTTTGACATTTACAAAAGTTCGAACCCTGTAGCTAAGATAAAGAAGCCAAGCAAAAACACAGCTTAGCACCGCCATTGTTTTCCTAAGAGCTGGGAATGTCAAGAATTTAAAAGGCCTTTCGTTAAGGATGTAATGCAGCATGTCTGCCACAGAAGGTTACTTCTTATGGTTTCACGATGTTGGAACGTGATGGCGTCTGGTGTGCATCTCAAAAAATAAGTGTGGAATTTGTTTTAGTTTTGTTTTGAATTTCGCGGAAAGCTACACGAGGGCTATCTGCGCCAGCATTTCCTAATTTAGCAGTGCAAAGCTAGAGGGAAGGTAACTAATCATCACTACCCACCGCCAACTCTTGGATTACTCTTTTACCATAGTGAGATTGACCGTCACTTTATAACGCCCCCACGGCTGAAAGGGTGAGCATGTTTGGTGGAACGGGGATTCGAGCTCGTGATCTTCAGATTGCGAATCGAGCGCCCTGACTACCAAGCCATGCCGGGCCTAGAAAATTTGGTGTGCTCTGGTCAAGTGTTCGTTATTTTGACTATTTATATATCTACACGCTAGCGTATAATTGCTACAGAAAATACCCACTTGGGTCGGTCTATCACGATGATTAACTATTTAGTATAAAAAGTATATTTTAAATAATGTTCAGTTTTATAATTGGATTATTTTTTTTTTCACGTGTGAAACATATAAATATGATTTGGTTCTCTTAACTAAAACAATCAATTGACTTATTTGTGAGTTTATTTAATAAGACTCTTTTAGAACATGACGTAGTTTCTGCGGGTATAAGCAGAACATATGAATTTCGTTAGAACTATCCTAAAGATGATAGGAGGTCATGGTTTTCCTTGAAAAATGCACTTCTAAGTTTCAATGTAGCCTGCATAGAATATCTTAGCTTTCTTCTGGTTTATGTTCATACATTTTATAGCTTTTATAAATGTTCTTTGCTCCTCTGGTCTTTTTCATTGTATTAAACATTTACTCGGGTTTCTTCGTTGTATTAAACATTTACTTAGAATGGTTCGCGTTGGTCATAAAAATGAAAATTGTATTATGCAGACAGAGAAAAAGTAATATCTTATCAAATAATGATCAAATGTTACATCCCGGTTTCCAGGGAAACGTGGTGGTGTAAAACCCAAACGCACGGCGTGAGGTAGAAGTGACTTACGAGAGCGATAACCTCTATCTGCCTGTTTTAAAGCTGCCGTAAGTTCATTTTTTTTTCTGTATCGTTACAAGATTTGTTGTTTTATTTTGTTTTTTCCTGATCGATAGAATATTCCACATACCCTAATGTTCGAAACAAATATATACCTTCATATACCTTTATACCCTTGAAGGGGCGCGATCAGAAACGTTTTGTACATCATTTCACTGCATACTTTTACTTCTTCAAGTCGTACAGAACTTTTATTTTTAGGATACTTCTTCATTTCTGTTGTTCTTTGATCTTTAACTTCTCGAATTGGTTTTCATGTAGAAGTATTCTACTTATAATTCCAGATTCTGTGTAGAATCTGTGTCGCCACTATTTTATATTTCACTTTAGGCTTTCACATTCTGTGTCGCCATCGTTTCGTATTTAACCTTAGGTTTTCAGGAGCTGTGTCGTTATCAAGTCTTATTTCAGATCAGGTTTTCATGATCTGATTCACTACCGTTTCGTATTTCACTTTAGAATTCCAGATCCGGTGCCACCGCCGTCTTGTATTTCACCTTAAATTTGCAAAATCTGTGTCGCCACTATTTTATATTTCACTTTAGGCTTTCAAATTCCGTGTCGCCATCGTTTCGTATTTAACCTTAGATTTTCAGGAGCTGTGTCGTTACCATTTCTTATTTCAGATCAGGCTTTCAAGATCTGATTCGCCACCGTTTCGTATTTCACCTTAAATTTGCAAAATCTGTGTCGCCACTATTTTATATTTCACTTTAGGCTTTCAAATTCCGTGTCGCCATCGTTTCGTATTTAACCTTAGGTTTTCAGGAGCTGTGTCGTTACCATTTCTTATTTCAGATCAGGCTTTCAAGATCTGATTCGCCACCGTTTCGTATTTCACCTAAGATTTTCAGAATCGGTGTCGCTAACGTCATGAACAATGAGAGCCAACTTATCAGTACCTCCCCCTAATCAAAAGCTTCACTCAAAACATGTACATGACTATCAGTCCTGTTTTTACCTCCCTTAGTGTGGGCGTGGTTTATAGGTGTACAACTAGAGCCGCTGACATGTCATAATGCTCGTTCGACAAACTTATTACAACTCCAGATCCAATCTGTCATTGCAGGACTTCCTATAGATCATTACTTGGATGAATAGCAGAGGATGATAAATACAATATCAATAAATCAACAGAGAAAACATTTACAAGAGAAAGGAAACGATTGTATAATAGTTTTAGTTCGAGTTTAATTATGTCAGCTAGGGGCTAATAAGAGATATTAACCAGATCCAACAAAGAAAATGTACATCTATATAAAACGTAGGTATGATCTGTTAAAAGTGAACTTACTATGATATTTTACTCTGTTTGAATAAAATAAAATATTTTTTTATTAATTGGTCGGACAATGTAAACTTTATACACACACCGGATATTTGTACATGTGTGAACCATTTCATTACTACGTGTGTGGACCACTTCTTTATCAGATTATCCATCTTCGTTCGGGTATTACTACGTCTGTGGACCACTTCATTGTAAGATTATTCATCTTCGTTCGGGTATTACTACGTCTGTGGACCACTTCATTATAAGATTATCCATCTTCGTTCGGGTATTACTACGTGTGTGGACCACTTCATTATAAGATTATTCATCTTCGTTCGGGTATTACTACGTGTGTGGACCACTTCATTATAAGATTATTCATCTTCGGGTATTACTACGTGTGTGGACCACTTCTTTATAAGATTATTCATCTTCGTTCGGGTATTACAACGTGTGTGTGGACCACTTCATTATCAGATTATCCATCTTCGTTCGGGTATTACTACGTGTGTGGACCACTTCATTATAACATTATCCATCTTCGTTCGGGTATTACTACGTGTGTGGACCACTTCTTTATCAGATTATTCATCTTCGTTCGGGTTTTACTACGTGTGTGGACCACTTCTTATCAGATTATTCATCTTCGTTCGGGTATTACTACGTGTGTGGACCACTTCATATAAGGACAGAAGTCTCGAGTTTTTTCAGCTATTGTAAATGTTAATCTCTGTTGGGTAATGATTTTGGCCATCAAAAATTTTAGCTGAGCTGTTGTGAGCTTAATTAGCTCGAAAGTGTAGTCCTCGGGTGTACATTAAACTATCCAACATACCAAATATATATATATATATATAAACTATCCAACATACCAAATACATATATACATGTGTACATTAAACTATCCAACATACCACACACACACACACACTATATATATGGTATGTTGGATAGTTTATATATATATTGTTGGATAGTTTATATATATATACGATTGTGAATCAAACCATTTGTTGCATCAGTTTAATGTTTGGATGAATAAACATATGAAAGAATAAATAATGTGAAAGCTATACGATTGATTGGTTATCTGTACTCTACCCATCGAGGGTTCGATACCCGAATTGTAGTGTTATAAGCCCTGAGGATTACCACTGAGCCACTGGCGGACGTATATAAAATAAAGAAATCATTTAACACACTTATAATTTTCTTACGCAAGGATTCGATCCCGACTCATGCATTTTTGAATAAACGCTATTTTCTTTGGATCATTTTATATTCAAATACATTATGTATTAGTTTTGATTGAAATGTCATTCATTTCGGCCTTTATTAGAGTTGGTTACGTACAATATAAAGTACAGTATTTGATCATTTATGGTAAATACTATTGAAATATTCTGTCTCAAAACATAAAATGAGACTAACACGAATACCAAGAAAAAGATCATCAATCTTGCAAATTATAAATAAATAATATGACATTTTTACCTAAGTTCTAGAGGTTCGAGTCCATATTAATGACCTACGTCTGGTTAAGTAGATTTGATAGTCCTTAGAAGATCGATAAGCAGCAAGTCATGGCCTGGTGGTCATGGCACTCGACTCTCAAGCTTCAGATCGCCAGATCAAAACCCTTCTCCGAACATGCACGTCCTTTCAACCCCGGAGGCGTTATAATATGACGGTCAATCCTACTATTCGTTGGTAAAGAGTAGCCCAGAAGTTGGCGATGAATGGTGTTGACTAGCTACCATCCCTCTGGTATGTTACTTTAAAATTAGGGACAGTTAGCGTAGATAGCCCTCGTGTAGCTTTGCGCGAAATCCAACAAAACAAACAAAGAAACAAGCTTTCAGATAGCATACTCTGCGAAGTAATGTAGAAGATGATACTTAACATCATCATGATGTTCCTAATGTCCACCCTTACTATAA